ACACACACACACACACACACACACACTACACTACAATATATATATATATATATATATATATATATATATATATATATTAACATATATATATATATAGATATATATATTCATATGAATATTACAATACTCAAATACGTGTGTACGCTGCTATTCGATGAGTTTATATGTTAATATTAGAGTTCACCCATCATATCATCAATTGGTATTGTCGGTAAAAAATATGTAATTTGAACTTGATTCGAGTATGATATGTTTTTTTCTTGGAAGTAAATAGCTGCGTTTTACCAACAAGGAACCAGTAACAGTATACAGTCAAATATTGGTGAGCGCGTATAAACATACTATGGTACTAGTTACTGGCGAGTAAAACTAATTGACAACGAGTTTCCACCTGCACGCGAGTAGTGAAGATAAAATATATAACTGGAAAATCTGTGCATATATCATAAAACCATACATAGTACACAGTATAATATTGCAACACCATAATGAGATAGGAAGTTTCTCAAAGTATTCAGGAAAACGCGGCCATACCGATTGACAATTTAATCTTCTCGAGAAAACCGTTTTCCATTCCAAGCCGCCAAACCCTGCAGGACTCTCTGGTGTCATGGAGATACTGTATTTGCACTTTAGGAAATCAAATCGTGAGGGCGCTGATGATAAGTCTATGTTTGTCATTATCTATCTGTAAAGGATAGTATTTTTAATGTCTTTGTAGTCTTCGTATATGTAATTAGTCTGATATCATCAACTCACTACCCGATATAATATAAGTTCAAAACAATGAAATCGAATGTCTTTATACGGCACTGGTGACAATAAAATGATTAACCACCTCAGGCCCAGTTTCCTACCAGTCTCATACATACTTTTTCGAGTACAGAGAGAAATACATACAAAAGGGTGGCAGATCCTGATCTTTATAAATTTTTTTGGCAACATTTTGTATTTGCAATTGGATCTGAGATCTGAGACTCTTTGTTCTAGAACCAATCAAAACTGAATTTTTCACAGAAATATATAACCATATTTGGTCATCATCAATCATAGGAAAAAAGCACTTTTCCAAAATGGATTTCTTCAGCGGTCAGCACCATACGGGCGGTAAATACAACAACATACGGGCGGTAAATACAACAACATACGGCATATTTTAAAATCGGATACTGTTTGGCTTGTGGAGACTGGAGAGGAATCCAAACTACAATAAAACATTTCGGCCATTTTTGGATGGCCAATATTCGGGTTTACAGTGGCCAATGGCTACGCGTCCCCTGGAAAGGGATGACACCGGCGAATGCGTTTTTAAAATGAAATAAAAAAGAATCTGAGGTGGCAACGTTTTGAATCATCAAAATACTTCTTACATAAAAAATACGTATCAAATTAATCGTCAAAACTATTGCAGAAACACCGAGTCAGACTGTCTACAGCTAAAACTAAATTTCGAGTGTAGATGATTCTTTTGGCTTAAACCAACTCTGCATGTGAGTTGAGTGCGCTGTGCTGAAAATGTCCTCTCGAAGGAAAGCGAATCGGAACTCCAAACTTGCGTATCTGACGATCAACCTCGATGCGTACGCAATATGTAGCAAGTACATCAAGAACCGCGAATACAACTCGCATATAACTTTTGTGCTTTTAGTCTATGCTCTTATGAGTCACGGTATCAGAGATAGGCTCACATATACATAGGTAATTATAGTTTACGATTACTATTGTATTGGTTCACAAGGCAAGGATGAAATCGTCGTGGGGCATTTTATATGCGCAATGGGATATATAGTGCTTTATATACTTGAAAATCGTACTAAGCACTGTTTGTTCGCATGTAGACTTGTAAATGAAACTCCAAAAAGATGTAACTTCCGAAAATCCTTATTTGCCTAGTCATGCTATACCCTCAAAATCATCGGACAATGGGCTTCCCTGCTTCTTCTGAGTATTGTTGCAGTTCGAGGTCGTGGCTGACTTTGATCTCCATTTGATTAGGCAATAGGTAGAAGACGCTGCCAATAGACAATGTTAATAGTCTGTATCTAATGCTGTTGCAGTTCAAAGTCGTGGCTGACTTCCATGCCCATTTGATAAGGCAGCAGGAAGTAGATGC